TGTGTCATCTTCCCAATCTCTAGTATGAGGATCCGGGGGTGGGGGAGGAAGGAAGCAGAGGGGTGAGAATAGGAAGGGTGGGGTGGGATGGTAATAATAGGGTTGCACCATTTGATGGATAGAAGTGTGAAAGAAATGGGAAGGATATTTTATGAAAAATGGTGTATTCAAACTTTGTAAATAAATTAGTATACTTTAAAAAAAGATGAAAAAAAGCCATTGGAGGGCCAGTTATGACTGACTTTCTTTTTTTTTAATAAATAAAACAAGAATTAAAAAAAATAATTTTTTGAGCCAGACTGGATGAGTTTAAATTACTCCATCACATACCTGCATTATTTTTTCCTGAAAAAAATTATTAAACTTATGTATGTATCAAATTGTCTATGTACAAACTAGAAGTTATACTTCAGCTTTGTAATTATCAGCAAAATTAGTTTCTAAATACCAGGAATTAGAAAAAAATTGATATTATTCAAGACTCAAGGGATATGCCATTTACTCTCTGTTCATTGGTTATCACTAATATCTCAAGATATATGGAATGACAAGGCCCTTTTTCTCTTTTGGTTTTCCCATCACTTCAAAATGTTTGGTACTAGTAGTAATGAAGGTAGTCAGACGTTCTCACCACTCACTGATTCCCATAGCCTATCCTGGTCAATCTCGTTGTTTGTCTTCCATCAGCACCCGTCCTTGCATCCTCAAGCAACCGTATTTTACTCTTCTTACATTGCCTTACCCACCTCTTTAGGGTCCTTGTCTGCCCTCTCCATGATGCTTGTGATCTCACGCTGTCCCACTATCACAGCTGATAAAGGCTTTGCAGACAAGTAAGTGAAGGCATCATCTGGCCACTCATCTGTTATCCTCCTTGTAATACTCTTGTCTCTAGGATCTAAAGCAAATTGTTTAGGTGGGTAGTAGAGGCTACCCAGGTGCAGCTTTTACTCTGCCTGGGGCCTAGTACTTTGAAGGTGTTGTGAGAAATTTTTCAAAGATTTCTTAAGTGAGAAATGTTGGAAAACAAAGTTGTGGATAACTAACGAGTAGGTATATCTAAACCTATTTTGCAGAATTGATCGGATATTAAATGATTCATAATATGTCCCACATACAACAAATATTTTATTTCTATAATTCTATTTTTCCAAAACAAAGAGAAATTCTGTTTAGTTATCAAAGAATATAGTATCAGTTAAATGAAAAAAGAAAGGAACTTCTTATTGATCAGTTTATTAATTTTAAATGTTTTTAAAATGTGAAAGTAATTTATCCTGGAACATAGATACCTCATTTGATGTTATCAGGTATAGAGCAAGCCACAGAAGAGGAATGAGAAAAAAAATTTAACTAGAATATTTTAATTAAATCTACCTAGAATTGAAAGCAAAGTGATAGCAATATTGAAACATATTTGAGACAACAAGAGGTTGTTAGTACTTTTTTAGTGCCTGAAAAGGGTTAAATAGCAAATATTTCAACACTTGTAAGGTATGTCACTTGTTTTAACTATTTGGCTTTGTTGTTATAGCAGAAAAGCCACCCTAGGCAGTCTGTAAAGAGATGGGAATGGCTACGCACCTATAAAATTGTATTTGTAAAACTGGTTGCATTGAAACTTAGGCTACCTAATAATAATTGGGGGGCATTGACTATAGAGAAAAAGCTATAGAGAAGATAACTTCTACTCTGTTTTGGTATGGTTCTTTTGAATATGAGCATTTGTGAACATTCAGGATGTGTCTTAGAAGTTTGTAATTAGTTGCATCACTAGCTCTCCAGTGAACTTTTACATTTAATTTTTCTTTTGTATCTTTATGTAAAAGGATGCTAAATAATGGTACCTTTCATGTGGGCTACAAGTTTCAGCTCCAGGTAAAGGCGGAGGGCAATGATTGTGAAATCTCCACATATCTTTGTGTTAGTCACATACATACAAAGCTTTCCAGGAGGAAGCCTCAGCATTTTTGTGAACTTATTACCATCAAGAAAAGCTTGGACATTTATAAGTAAAATAAGTTTTCTCTGAAATGTGTCTATTTTAGAATGATATTCTCCTTCCCTCCAACAGTTTGGTGGGTTATTTGGTTTTGTGTTGCTTATTCTTCTAGAGAGGGAGAAAGATCACAAGGATCATCATATCTAGATTTCTCACATTGTAGCTGATGATGATTTCCAAGAATGTGGTCCATAGTGTCAGCCTAGGCGCTAGATCTAAAATTATAAGTTTCAATATCTCTTTAAAATTGAGGAGTCATGGAGATTACTTCTTTCTCTCTGTCTTTCCTCGTCTTAATAATGTGAAATGAAAAGGCAAAGTAAACCATTAACATGGGTTAGATGAACGAGATGTGCTCTAGGACTAAACTTCATTTGTATAAGTAGTGCCACAAGTGTATGTGCCTCCTACAGACCAAGGGAGCTACTTTTAGGACAAACAGATGACAGCAGGAGAAATTTGTGTGGGCAATAGTATCGACAGAGAGGATCTGTAGTGAGGCATGAAGAGGAGGTCTTCACAGGACATGTTAACTCTACAAACATAAAAGTTCAAGACAGATGGCTCCAGAGAATCAGATAAGACTGTAAACAGAGGATTATAGAGGATGTACAAGTCTCCTCTAGTAAGAACCAGTACTCAGACAGTTATGCAAACTGTGGGTGTTCATTAGATAAGACAGAACCACTGGTAGCAGCGGGTGAGAGCAGTCATGATTCAGTGGTAGAATCAACAACAGTAACAATGTCAGAAATTGAGTTTGCTCCCCATTTAATGCACCTAACGCACAGTCACTACTTGTTTTTCAGAAGAGGCTTGTATGGTGCCAGAATACTGAACGGAAGTCAGAAATTTCGCAACAAAGTAATACATTTCCAAAACAAACTACCAAAATATGTTAGAGCTTAAAAATCCTTGCCTACAAGAAGCAGCCTGGTTTCACCCTCTCCAGGACAAATCTATTTGCCTGTTTGCTCTCCTAGCAACTCTGTTAGAGAAGCAAAGTTAAAAGCATTAAATGGCTCCTTCATAGGGTCGCTATGATTTATCTACAACTTGACGGCACCTAACAACAACAACAATAGTAAAGGAGAACACCTTCACAACAGAGTAATCGTTAGCATATATTATTCGATGGTGCAGGGGAAGAGGGGATTAGTCATTGGTTTGTACAATTTGATGGGTGGGCGGGTGAGGGAAACGGAAATAATTTGTTTGAATTTGTATTTGAGTTTTGTAAGTAAACTAGAAGAGAAAAAAAACCAACCCAAAACCAAAATTCAAGTTATATAAATTTTCTGAAGCATGCTTTAAAAGCATGAACATGAGAGCTGTGAAAATGTTCCTTTCGGGTTCTCTGCTGTAGGGCACCATATTAACTGACAGCGCCATGTGACTGTCCATATTACCATCATGTTTGTTTCAAAGTCATGGTTTTCTTGGAATAATCTCAGATAGTATCTGAGCTCAACAGAAATGCTAAAACAGGTCCATTTTTATGAAGCATAGGGAGTCTTCATTGGATTGCTGTGGCCAAAAATTTACCCATCAACATTGTTGAAACATTTTCAGAACTGCCTTTTATTCTCAAACTATTCTAGTCCAACATTCTTTTCCTCCTCTACATCACTAGGATTAGACCTGCATTACAATCTGATGGCTCTCCAAGATTTCTCCAGCTTCACGTCCATGATCCCCTTATGAATGATTTATCCAATAAATACCTTTCATGTCTATCTTCTTTTTTTGGCTATAGCTACTCAAAGAACAATAACTAATGTAATGGATTTTAAACTTTATCTCACATGAAGTGGTCATTTACTCTTTATAATTCAAAAATTAGGGGAGCTCTGGTGGCCTAGTGGCAAGAAGCTGCAACTACAATCCCAGAGGCGCACGGTTCAAATCCACCAGATGCTTTGCCGGGTAAGGAGGGACAATCTCCTCCTGTACAAGTCAGATCTGATTTGACGGTACATGCACACAAAAATAAAAAAAAATTCATATACTTTTAATCCCAACTCAGATTATTATGCAAGTCATCCTTCTTAGTACTTTCATTAAATCTTTGTTTTTATCACCAACAACATCGTGAAATGTTAGAATTTTGATTGTGTGAGAAACTCTAAGGCTGAAAATTTGTTTCTGATTAATACAATATATGATGTATAATAGAATCCTTAAAAATTTTTTGTTTAATAAGTACTTAATTGAATGAAGATAATTTTGTTAAGCACTTAAAAACTACACAAATTTATATTTATGGAATATAAAAGTTTTCCCAATTTGAGAAATGTACTATATTTTAGCTCCCCTCTAAATGTCTCATTTTCTATCACAGAAAATATTAAAGAAATATATTCACTATTTATATATTTCACAGGGTTGCTATGAGTCTAGTCGACTCAATGACAATTAACAGTAACTATAACAACAATAAGTAATATATTTAATATATATTTACCATTCATGTATATGTTGTTTATAATTTATATTATCTATAATATATATATATATATATATACACACACACATATATATATTTTGTCTATAAATCAGTGGAAAGAGCAGGATATACTCACTATATACCCGATGTTAATAAAGAAAACAAACCATCATAGTTCATGCCAAAGAAGTAAGTTTATTTAAAATATTATGTTTGTATGAAATAAACTTGAACAAAATATTTCAAGAAAATAGCAAGAAGAAAAAACACATACACAGAAAGATGGTAAAGGAAATAATTCTGAAGACTGATATAAGAATAGAGATTTAAGATATAGCTCACATTTCAGGTTGAGCGAAGGTCATAGGCCAGGGTAACTCTGTAGAGATCAAATTATAATCTTGTCCATAGTAAGTCATATACAGAAGAACTGTGATGATGAGTCCTGGTGTTAAAGATATCAGAAGTCATAGGTATTGGCCTGGCTGAGTTTTGAAGATTCACAGAGTGTAGAGTTGATCATGAGGAAATGGAGAGTGGTCAATAAGTTGATCAAAAAAATCGAGAGCCAAATCCTGGTTGGTAGCAAGTTGACTGGTGACTCCTGGAAGAAAAGTAAGTTGGGCGACCAAAGTTAGATCCGCAGCCCAGAGACTGGAAGCCAGAGTTTCCATAGCCGAAAGATCCAAAGCCAGTGTTTCCATATCCTACAGATCCAGCATAATTTGTCTGGCAGGGACTGTAAATGATGTGATTCTTTGGACGGTAGCAAGACATCTGGTAATATCTCTCCACAGCACAGGGCGTTTGACAGATGGAGGGCTCACAGAAGGTCTCCTGAGGACTGTAGACAGAAGAGCCGACATGGAAGTTGTTTGAAGAGAAGGATACATTGCCAGGGTAGAAAGCATCATAGGTGGGAACTTGGTTCCCCAGAAAACCTCCAAAAGAGCGGGAGGAAAAGTTTCCAGAGCTGTAATTGTAAGACATGTTGTCAGGAGTTCTGAGATGAATTGAGTTTCAGTGAAGAGCTTGTGTCTGAACGTTTCCTTCTACATTGGGCACTTATATATATACCCCAGCAAAGGGTGTCGTAATGTAACCATTTTAATGAGAGTATTTAATTAGGCTACAAGCAAAAAGACATATATTAATCTTCAAAGCCCACTTTATTAATACAAGTTTTAAATGAAAGAATTTCATCAGTTTTCAAAGGAACATATCATGAAACAAAAATGTAAATTCTTATTAATCTACCTTGGAAGATGAATGGATACCAACTTAATTGTACAAGTAAGACTGGTGGTTTATTTGTCCTATCACATAATATATCACATTGACTGAGTAGTATATAGAAGATTTTGTTGCATTTAAAATTCTAAAAAAATATTTTGTAGGCTTCATTTATATAGCTCCACTTTAAGCACTCTATCAAGAATTGAAGAATAAATTCAACAATATTTATTCTACCTCTCAAATATTTTAGACCTTATAGGAGTATAATTTAAATAAATAACTCTTAATTTGCAGAAATTTTAAATGACTGCATTCTTAGCATGTCAAAATTTCCATTTTCTTATAGCACAGGTAGACAAACCGTTATTATGTGCATGCTTTGCAGTTGATTACATAATATGGATACATCAGTTTTTCCCTTGTTTCAGAATCTTCTTGCTTCTGAAAAAAAATTAAAAAAACAAGCCTACGCTGTTAATTATGTTATAAAGAAGGTTCCATTCCCCAAAAGTTTAGGTAATCTTTGACGTTGTTGATGTATGCTTGTATTGAGAAGAAAATAGCATAAATGAGAAAATGAAATTTTATTCCTTTTCTAGCATTTTTGGTTATTGCTATACGGCATTTATATTACAGAACATAAAGTATGAAATAAATGAGGAAAGTCTTGACTCCATAGGCTTAACCTAATGATCAAGGTAAGAAAGAATTATACACACACTTCTCAATTATTGATATGATTAAATCATTGGCACTGTCATATTCCATATACGTTGTTGATTGCCTTCAAGTCGAGCAAAATTCATAGCAACCCTATGAACAAGAGACCTGAAGTCTTTCTATAACCATAGTAGTTTATCAAAAGAGTTTCCAGAGGCATGTTGTTTATATTAGGTTATTATATGAAAACCAACATTATACAAAAGAAGAAGATGACCACATCAGATTAAAAAATGGAGGTTGCCTACATCATTAAACATTTGTCAAACCACTGAGGATCAGAGCTCAAGCAGGTTGAAACATAATATTAATCAGCTAGCCGGCATCACTCTCAACTCATACGTCGGCATTTGTTACTCTCAGGCATATGTCACTTAAGTGGAAAATAGTTTGATTGAAGACTTTTTTTTGCAGTTTTTGTATGCACAAAATATCAGATAACAAGATAGCTGATAAATGAAAAGTACTTATAATTATAAATATTTTTTTATAAATTAAAGTATGGAAGAGAAGTTGTCAAAAGAGATGATATTATCAGTCACAAAAAAACAACCACTGTATGAAATTAGTAAATATATAGAAATTAAAATCAATTAGTTATACCAGGGCAGGAAAGAAGGGAAAAGTGACAGTTTTTGCTGACAGTGCCTTGAAAGTACCTTAATAGTGGTGAGGTAACTTGTTAGAAGATAACTAGAATGCACAACTTGAAGAATATAATCATTGCCACTAACTTGTACTTATGTAAATGGATTTAATTTTGTGTTTGGATATGTTATTATCATTAATAAATATGTAAACATGTAAGTAAATAATTTGCTTAAAATGAGCAAATCATGAACAATCAATTCATCAAAAGTTAAATAAAAAGCTGTACTAAAAAATCAGAACAAAAAATATCAGAAGAATGTCTGTTATTGTTAGATGCTGTCATATACAACTCATAGTGACCCTATGAACAACAGATCTGAACCTTATCCTATCCTGTGCAATCTTCAATATCCCTGATACACTTGAGCCCATTGCTGCAGTCACCTTGTCATTCCATCTCCAGGGAGGTCTTCCTCTCTTACATGGACTCTTCACTATTCCAAGCATGCTATCTTCTCCCAATGAATAGCTTCTCCTAGCTATGTCCAACATATTGAAGAAGAAGCTTCACCATCTTTGTATCCAAGGAGCATTCTGTCTGCACCTTCTCTAAGACTTATTTGTTTGTTCTATTGGTAGTCTATGGGATATTCAGTATTCTTCAACACTACAGCATAAAGGTATCAATTCTTCTCCTACCATCTTTAAACATTTTCCAGTTCTATGATACATAAAAAGTGATTTAAAAGATCATGGTCTGAATCAGGCACTCCCTAGTCATCTAACTGACATCATTGCTCTTCAATAATTTGGCAAGGTCAGTGACAGCAGCCTTGCACAAAGCAATACATCTCCTTATCTCCTTACTGCTAGTATTAAAGGTGTTGATTGTTGATCCAAGTAAAATAAAATCATAAATAGTTTCAAACAGTTCTTGATCTGTTACTACATTGCCTATTGACCTAGTAGGAAGGATCACTGTTTTCTTGATGTTGACATGTTATCCATTTTGAAGGCTATACTCTTTGATCTTATGCACCAAACACTTCAGGTCCTCCTCACTTTTAACAAGAAAAGTGGTTTCATCAGCATAATGTAGGCTGTTGACACTTCTTCCTTCTATTCTGATGTTACAGTCTTCAGAGTACTGTTTCACGAATTATTTCTTTAGCATACATATTGAAGAGGCATGGAATTATTTGAGTTTTACTGACTGTGCAAAGGCATTTGATTGTGGGGATCATAACAAACTATGTCTAACATTGAGAAGAATGGGAATTCCAGAACACTTAATTGTACATATACAAAATGTATATCTAGACTAAGAAGATGTTGTCCGGAGAAAGAAAACACTTCATAATTTAAAATCAGGAAAGATGTGTGTCAGGGCAGTATCCCTTCTCCATACCTAATTAACCTGTATGCAGAGAAAATCATTAGAGAAACTAGACTTTATGAAGAAGAATATAGCATAATAATTGAAGAAATACTAGTCAATAAGCTTCTCTAGGCAGATTAAACAATCTTGCTTGCTGAAAGCAAGGAGGACCTGAGACACTTGCTTGCAGAGGATCAAGGCCTGCAGCCTTTAATGTGGATTACATTTCAAGATCAAGAAAACAAAGACATTTCACCACTAGAATAAAGGGCAATATTATGATGATGGAGGAAAATTGATTTTCTTAGTGATTTTGTCTTGCTTGAATCCACAATCAATACATTTTATACTAGCAGTCAGAAGATTTGGAGAAATATAGCACTGGTAAAGTCGGCTGTCGGGTAACTCTCCAAAGCCCATAAAAACAATGATATCAGTTTGAAGACTAAGGTGTGTTAATTCAAGCCAAAGCTTTTCCAGTCACCTGCTATGCATCATAGGTCTGGTCAATGAATAATGATGAGAGAAGAATCAATGACTTTGGATTGTGGTGCTGGGTAAGAATAGTGAATATTCTATGGACTGCCAAAAAACCTCTAAATATTGTGTTCTGAAGAAAGTGTTGTCAGAGTGCTCCCTAGAGGCAAGTATGGTGATGTTTTATCTCACATATCTTGGGCAGGTTGTTAGGAGAGGTTATTTCATGGAAAAGGACATCGTGTTTGGAAAGATGGAGAGTCAGTGAAAGAGAGGAAGTCTCTCAATGAGATGGACTAATACACTGTCTGTGACAATGGGCTTAGATACCTCAGAGATGGTAAGGCCGGTACAGGATAGAACAAGACTCAGATCTATTGTTCATAAGGTCCCTATGAGTCAGCTCAATGATACTTGGTGACAACAACAATAACAACAATTCTGTAAATGTAAATTTTGTCTAATGGAAATTATTGCTAAGACTCCTCTCAACTTTTTAATATAACTGAATTCTGAGTAGACAAATTATCTTCAATCAAGGTTACTATGCTGAGACACACGGTTGATGTCCTATGTATCTAAAAGAAACAACACTAAGTTATTGTGATTATTGTTTTAGTCCATCCAAATCAGCAGTTCCCGTGTACAACAGAACCAAGCACGGCCTGATCCTGGATCATCCTCCCTGTCATTGCTGTATTTGCAATCACTATCAGTCCATGCCATTGACTTTTTTCCTGACCCACTATTTTACCATGCATGACATCCTTCTCTTGTGATATATTGAAGACATATTTGAAGTTCACAATATAAATTACCTCTGTTCTTGTTTCTAAGGAGAAGTCGACCTACATTTTTTTCAAAATAGGTTTATTATTATTATTATTATTCTGATAGTTTTAATCAAAACAACAGTGACAATGGGAGGCTGGTAATGGGAGATAGTGTTGCAGGCAGTGGGTGGGAGTGGATGGGGATGCTGGTGGATGGTGGAGCAGGGAAATAAGTGGGTCAAAACACTGTGTCAAGAGAGGGGACAATGCCGAAACTAATGGTTAATTTCACAATTGGTGGAAATACATTTTATGTGTTTTTTCTGTAAAATGCTTGTCTGTCAGATGCTTCTCTAAATATGAGCATTAAGATTAAGAAAGACTAGGAAGAAACACTTCTGAAACAGCAGGCCTCTGAAAACCCTATATACAACAGAACACACATAGAAAAACAGGTAGGACAGCTGAGGCAGAGCTTTCAAATATGGAAATACAAAGGAAGAGGGACAGTTGTAAGCTGACACTAGTGATTGGAACATGGATTGTGAGAACCATGAATGTAGGAAAATTATATATCATTAAGGAAGAAATGGAACACATAAATATTGGCATACTAGGTATTGCAGAAGTGAGATAGACTAGCATGGGGCATTTTGAGTCAGATGATCATATGATCTATTATTCAGGAGATGAAAAGGTGAGGAAAAATGGGGTTTCTTTCAGAGCTACAAAAGTAATTTCCAGATCCATCTTGAAATACAATATTATGAGTGATAGGATAATATCCATATGCATACAAGGAAGTACAGTGAATA